TTTTTAATAAAAATGTCCTTTAATTTTAACGTTTTTAATGTTTTATTTGAGTTCTTTCACTTATTTTGATATACGTCTGAAAATAATTTATTTTAAATACAAAACATTTGAAATTGAATTTAAAATCAAATCAAAAGTAATAAAAGACAAAGAAAATAAAAAAGAACAAACAAAATAAATAGAAAAAAGAAGAGAAAAAAATAACGAATGAAGGTAAAAAAGTTTAAACGGGACAAAAAGAAATTTTAAAAATTACATGTATTAACTTAGTTTAATTTATACACATGGTGGTGCATGTATATCACCACTTATATTTGAATTGGGTCTTGACTCCATGTCAGCATAAAGGGGTACAAAAATATAGATTAAATGAGTTCAAGGGGTGATAGAACCTCGGTTAATCTTAGATGTGTCACTGAAAATTTGGGTATAGTTATAGGGGGGTGTACTTGTGTTTTATCCCAAAATTAAATAATAAAAACAATAAAATTATCAAGTAAAATAATGTGAAGTTCTTTCAATAATTAGAAAGGCCTAGGATAATGATTTCCCTAATTATTGAAAGAAATTCTCAACGTATTAATTATAATAATATTGAATTATTATTCATCGATCGTGAGTCTTAACTAATCACAATTATCTGTACCAATTGTAGTAATTTTTTGGTGTTATTCTCTTGAACTAATCCTAGCTAGTAATGCAACCTACTCACGACACCACGTCAAAGCTTCATTATTTTTAATCTCAATTACTTTAAATCTAGCAATTAATCTCTTAATTATCTTGGTCAACTAAGATCTAATACTATTATCTTTCTAAGCATTAACAATTAATCTCTAAATAACTAATAAGTTACATTAGTCAACTAAGATCTAATACTTATATTATTTCTAAGCTTCCTTGATTAACAATATATATATATATATATAACATCTTATAGGTTGAATTTTTGATAGTGTTTAATTTTTTTTACTTTTCTATTTTTCAACTATTTGTTAGTTGAAGGTCCTATTGAAAAATAGAGAAGTAAAAAAAATTAAACACAATCAAAACTCCATCCTATAAAATGTTCCCCTATATATATATATATATATAATGATATTTGTTGATCAAGGAGGCTTAACTAACGACCATCAATGTGTTGTTGAACAAATAGAGAAGGAAAAACAAGCTAAACACTATCAAATTATCGTCCTTTAAAATGTTCTATCAAAAATTCATCCTTCAAAATATTCTATCAAAATCCTAGAGAAGAAATTAAGTTACTCATAATTAATATTGCTCAAAACACAACTAGAATTCATAATCAACAAGAAATATAGAAAGAAGGTAAAATTTGTCACCGAATTCCGTTAGTCTAGCTCCTTGTGGGTTCTTGTCATCAGCCATTAGTTAAATGAAAAGACATCTCGCTCAAGATCGAGTGATTTGTCCGTTTTGGTTAAATAGCAAAACAAGGGGCCCATTTTGCATTTTTGAGGGAAAAAAGTGGCTCTTTTGACTTCAGATTCAAAAATAGTATGTCCCACATAAAAGATAGGTAATGAGCTTAAAACATTCAATGTAACGATATAAACCTCACAAATTTGATCAAGATGTGATGGGATAATGTACAAACGTATAGGCTTTTAGTCAAATATCGTTTCACCTATTATATAAGTTGTCACATTACTACTAAGTGCTATGTGTTATTTGCATAACAGATGAAATATTTATTATTCGGTATTTAAACTCGACATATATACTATATTGTTAGTTATTACATGATAAAATATGAAGTAAAATAGATGCTGCAACACGTAGATAACCTACGGATAAAATGTCTTTAAATTATACAATTTACATGACAATCATGCATAATTATTTATCGCACAATAATTTTTGCGTTATATATCGTACAATAAATTAAGTATTATTATTAATACTCACGGGATAAACAATTCATACAATATAATATATATTATCATCATCATCATCATCATCATCATCATCATCATCATTATTATTATTATATTATGTTACATCATATCATCATCATCATTCATATTCATATACTAGCGCGGCTATAAAAGACGATAAGATATCAAACATACGATAATAAAAAATTCATATAAATTATAAAATAAAGATAAATCATAAAGAGAACGTACGAAATAAATAAATAATGCAACATCATTCTTATGACCTTAATTATTAAAAAACAGGCGAAAAAAATGAAATTAATGCATAATTATTCGAGTTCATGTCGACGTCGTCCACCCCCACAAGCCGTTCACCAAACAAATAGTCTTCCTTTTATTCTTCAAATCAGCCAAAACCATGAAAATAATAAGCACCAGAAACATAACTTAAAAAGGCAATAATGTGATTTTTTTACTATGTCTTACGCTGTCTCAATTTATAACACTATAATATGAAATATCAAATACTGTCATGAATATGACTATTAATTATTTTAGGAATTATGAGGATAAAAAGTTATGGGAGTGATAAATATAAATGCCATTAAATTTTACATTAATTAATATGAATGAATGGTTAATTGACATATTTATTTATTATATAATATACAAAATAAAGAGAAATCATAGAGAGAACATATGAAAAAATAAAATAATGTAATATTATTCCTATGATCTAATTCATTAAAAAATAAAAGAAAAAATACACTCCCACAAACCGATCACCATTCAATAGTTTTCATATTATACTTCAAGTCAATTAAAACATGAATATAATAAACATAAAAAAACATAACAACTTAAAAAGTTAATGTAATCATTTTTACAAAGTTTCACAATATCTTCATTTTTAACTCTACAATATAAAATACCAAATAGTTTTTAAAAATGAGAGGAATACATTCAACACTACATAAATTAGATAGACATAACTATATTATTTCTTTAATCATCCTTTCTAAATATACCATAACTGAATAAAACTCATAACAATAGCTGAATAAATTATACAAAGAAAAAAACAGAAGATGGTCTTAATTTTCACAATTCTTTTAATTTGCTATAAAAAGTTCATCAAATACAAAAAATAATAGATAATTTAATTTAATTAACTGCCAAATGAGTGACTATTCTACTAAAACTAAATAATTAAAAATAAATAAAATAATATATTTACACAACCTTCTACCATACACATATACTGAGAGCAGACAAAAAGATAGCGGAATACAAATTTTCAAGCATAATATGAAACTGCGAAACTAAAAAGTCATAATCATAATTAAGATTGCATCAAATTGAGAAAAAGTAAGAAAAAATGCAATCTCAAAAAGAAATTAGGGAAAAAAAGTAAAGATTTGGCCCTTGAATGTACTTTCATGTCTAGTTTCTGAGGAAATAAACACAAATTACTTTCTTTTCGTTTGGTTCTTACCGTGTTATCTTCAAAGTCTTCATATTGTCTCATGAACTACTCATATCAAGATATCTACTCAAGAAGAACAATTAATTTTTTGATTTGTAGATGCAATAGATTAAACAGACGTTAAATAGTGAAAAACTTAAGACTATTATGCAATCGAAAGGGCATATTGCAGCTTAATGACCCATCGTTTCAATTTAATTATGATCATTTTAATGACCCATTATAATGTAATAATTACAAATAATAATGAAAGAAATAATTCTTTTTTTTTAAGGTTTGAAGAAAGAAAATAAGGAAAAAATTCAAAATTATGAGAAAAAAAATAAATAGTAATAGAGGCCAATGAAGCATGCCACATCAGCGGGTTCATTTTCAGCTTTATTAATATATATATATATATATATATATTACTCCAAAGTGCAAAGTTAGATCACCATTTTACCCTTACTCTAAATAAAAATATTATAAATAATTTAATTAATTAAATATTAGATAATAAAAACATAAGGAATTTGAAGAGTTTGAAATTAATAAGCTTTATGTCAAATATATAATCTCATCGATCACTTGTATTGAATTGACTAATAATCGGAAGAATTATTTCAGATGTCTCACACTTTTGATTTCTTTCTCTACTGCAAGATTTTTATCATTAACAATTTTATTCATTTACTAACAACTTATAGTGACATTGTGAAATTTAAACCATTATTATGAGTCATTAGAACGATTGATATGATATCAATTTGTCATTCTTTTTCTCTCGCTTTTATATTTAATTCGATGTACTTTCCTTTTAGTTCTATAAATTTTCTTTAAATGTATCTTTTTATATTATTTTCTTTTTCATTGTTAAAATATTGAGAAATGATACAAATATGGTTGGTGGTGTATTTGTAGATGAAACTACACGAAGAGATATCATGCACAAAGGTGCTAGAAGACTAGAACTATGAGGGATTTTATCTTTTTCAATATATTGAATTTTTTTTTCAATTTAAGAAAATGTTATTAAAATATGTACAAGATAATAGTTTATTATTTTAAATAATATAAATTTATAAGAATTATTATGGGATATACGTGCCCAGATATTAGTACGTTAAAATCAAGAAACTCGTAGATTGAAAAGTTAAATTACCTAAATATCCCTTTCAAAGTGGGAACTCCAAAGTTAAAATTTAAAAAACCTCACATCCGTAGAAATATTCTACCTCTGTTTCAATTGTTTGTCCTATTTTTCTTTTTAATTTGTTTTAAAAAAAATCTCTTTCCTTTTTTTTTACAACTATTTAGTTCCAACTTTTCACGTGACATGTTTAAACCACAAGATTAAAGAACATTTTGGTACATTTGACATATCTTAATTTAAGACCACAAAATTCAAAAACCCTACGTATTTACTTTCTTAAATTTCGTGCTACGCATGACTCTTGTTTTCATTTGCATTGTTTGCTATATATATATGCAATAAAACTCTCCTTTTCAACGCGACATACAAGGGTGACTAATGTGACAGTAAATCAGAGGAATCTGCTTCTTTTTTTAATAAGAAGAAGAAATACTTCTATATTAGCAAGTAGAAATAAAATGTGTAGATAGCCAACTTTTCTTCAGGCAAGAGCATCGCCATCACTCACCTCGACGCGCGCTGCATCCCGTGAATCTAGACACCAACACTTATAGTTGGATCTTGATATCTCTAAGAGCTCATTAGGCGTCATGTTCTCGTGTGCCATGGATTTCCATGGATCAGAGCTACTGCTAAAGCTTAGAGCTGGTGAATTTGATACCCTAATAGTCACTTCCATTGGGTGGTCTTGTGAGCGGATCCTCTCGTACAACCGCATGACGGACACTGAATCTTGGTAAGGATCATGGAAACCAACTTGAATATCATATCTGTTTCGGTCCAAAAGTTTCAGTTAGCATATCACGGAAGAGTGCCTGAATTGCCTCGTTCAAGCTCCATGTAAACAAGAAACCAACAGTGACTGAACATTTTCTTCGCTAGCAGGGGGATATCAAAGTTAAACAAACCATGGGAATATAATGGACAAACCTGACCAAACAAAAATACGAAGATAAAATAAAACTGAACATGAGAGTGAGCAAGTTGCTTGCCCTAGATAAGTCTTGGTTAGGTATTTCAGAGAGTGGCTGACGAAATTGGTCTTCATCAGGGGGCGATATGTTGCAGTATCTCTGCATAGAATGAAAGCAAGACATGAGTATTTCAGGCGATGGATAGGGGGATGCATCTCGTGTAGAAAATATCTCCAAGGCATATGGAAATCGCTTTTCCATATACCCAACTTGACAGAAAAATACAGAGAACGTGAACAATTGATATGATAATTGTTACTTTCATCTTCATCTCTTCTGTTCGAATTTGTCAAAATGGATTACAAGAAAAGTCAGCAGAAGCTCGCTGATCAACTTTCCGTGACGACCACATATTCTCCCATTGATGGAAGGAAATCAAGGCATCATGGAAAGACTTAAATGAACAAGTTTATGAAGTTCTAACCTTGACTTTTAAGCTAACACATTTATTAGGTACCGACCTTGAATTTTAACAAATATACACATTTTTTACTAGATCCAAATTTCTTGAATTTGTTTTTACAGGTTTCACCACACATAAAAATGAAACATAAACTACTATTGATACTGATGCATAGCAATTCAGCATGCTGAGTGATTACAACATCCAGAAGATTCTCACAAGTGAGGTGTAGGGAGGGGAGATGTACACAGACCTTCCCCCTATGCTTCTGAGGTAGAGAGACTGTTTCCGATAGACCCTAGGCTCGAGAAAATCATTTTACAGGAAATGGATTAGGCCAGAAGGATTAAAATGGATGGTGCTGGACATAATTGTTTATATTGAAATCATGATATAACCAAATTCTGCATAAAAATAGCTAGACTCGTAACTTTATTTTTATCTGTATAGAGATTCTAACTTCTTGATGATGTGGGAGTTCAAAACCAGTTCATGTAGAGGAGTCAGAAATTTATCTTCTTGGGTGGGGTGGGGTGGGGGGGTATAATGGTACTTGGGGTGGAGTAAATATTTGGATGATCCCAGCAAGTAGAAGGATCAACGTACCAGCATTTAGAGGAACATCAAGAAAAAACCTTAGGGGTTGGAAATTACACAAAGAGGGCCATTTAACGCCTTACCTAAGTGAGCAAACAAAAAACATGCAGCAAGGGCCTGCAAAAAATACTAGGCTTCTTGACATCAGTACCTGATTAAGCGAGTTAATAGGTCCATATCAAGAACAAATCTACTTCAACTTAAGCATTAATGCTCCACCCACAACAATAGTCAATTATAAGCTACTCCCTTTCTCTTTTTCTTTTAAGAACGGTGTTGTCCACGCCAAATTGCGCGCAACTTGACTATTTTGGTGCTCTTAAAGAAGCATGTTATGTCAAATTATGGATAAACAAGCCATCCATGTTAATGTATGGCAGTGAATGGTGTAATACACCTAATACAGATCAGGACCATGTCTGGACATAATAATACAGGATTCAAGGTTCCGAGAAAATGACTTTCATTTATTAGAAAGGAAAAAACAACATAAACTTACCTCCAAAGATGATCAGGATAATTCATTCTCAAGCAATCCAGGTGTTTCTCAAGGTTATGGCCAACAAGTACTTTTGCTCTTCCACCATCCAATCTTACTCTACTAATTGACTCTCCATTGTGAAGAATCTGGAGAATTCTCTCCCGGACTTCATTCAGAGGCATGGCATCTCGTAGATTTACCTCCGTTATACCAGTAATTTCATACCTGGCACACAATGATGAGGAAGTATGAAAAGGTGCAATGCTAAAAATGTCACCACAAACTATAAATATATATATGTTAATTTGCCAGCAGATACCTATAATCAGTCACAGGAATCTGAGGTAGAACAAAAGTGTGAAAAATAAGCTTCTCATCTTCGTCAACTAGGCATACCCTTGCACAAAGGTCTAGAGAGCAATCACTTCCCCCACCAACCATTTCACAATCTATGGCAACTGCTTCCCGATTTCTTATGCTGCTAATTCCATTACTTATATCCACTTCGTCTTCTGAATAAAGCATCTCTACTGTATCCTACAACAATTATAAATACACATTCCAGCAACTAAACATACATCTAGAGTTTCTAAGTGCAACTGAATGACTGATTCTTGAGAATGCATCCAGAGAGAAAAGTCATCAACTCACAATGGGTCGAGGAGTGGCTAGATGACACATTTCCTCATGCTCGTTGAGAGAGTCCACGCTGCTGCAGATTTTCAGACACAAAATGCAGCCTCTTTCCGCAAAGATGCTTGAACATTTCACTTTGGACAATGGACCTAAATGTTTAGTGAAAAGAAAGCTTAGAGAGCATTTACACCTAAAGAAATTCATAGTCTAAGCACAATAACTGACCAGCAACGTGCTCCCTTAGTGATTCAAACGATTTGCAATGCTTGTTACAAACACCACATTTAGGGTCATGAACTGAATGATAAGAGGTCTTTATATGTTCAATGAGATGTTCCTTCTTCTTATACTGCTTGAAACAAGCAGAACACTTGTGCCTGCATCACATACAGAACATAAGCAAACACATTCAGGCAAATGAAAATCAAAATTTTACACAAGATTATGTCTTTACTCCTTCCATCCACAAACAAATACTAACAAATTCAAGCACCCATGTGTGTGACCTAGTGGTCAACGAAGTGGATTGAGAACATGAAGTCTCAAGTTCAAATCTCAACACATACAAAAACACTAGGTAATTCTTTCCACATGTATACGGTAAAACTAGTCGAGGTGTGGGAAAGCTGGCCCGAACACCACACTTGTAAAAAAAATGACAAATTCGAAGTATAATGGTGAAAGCATCTATTGAAAAGGACAAAAAGAAGAAATTGTTTGACTTATTAGTATCGCAATAACAGGGTTTAGACTTTAGGAAAGTGGATTGTTAACTTATATGAACAAATTAATAAGCAAAAACAAAAACCCCATTAGTATCTCCATTGCAGTTGCAATTACCTTGTAGTGGAGAGGGGTTGCAGAGGAACTTCTGAGGGTTCGAATTCCATTGAAATTTGAATGAACTCCGCTGAAACTGAAAGTCGAATTAAAGAAAGTAAAAATGGACATGAATTGAGTAATCATGCATACAAATATTCTCATTTTTTTGCTAGGTACTAAATTGAGTATGCAATTGCAATTTGCAGGTCCCTCCATAAAGGAAGAAGGTACAATTTAGTCCCAATAATTTGGTATTCATATCATTTATAATTATATTCTGATTCAGCCCACTTAATCATATGCTGATTCAGCCCATTAAGTATGCCTGGTTTTTAGGTCTAAATCTTAATCATTTACAATCAGAATAAGATCTATAGGAGCATCTTAATAACATTCAAACATATTTAATACGCGGTAAAAGAAATCATTGTCTCCTCTCTCTTCTTGCTCGGGTTTGCTCGATTTTGCTCTCTCTACAAAAAATTTCCTCTCTTTTCTCAACTAAACATCATTTTTTCCCTCTTAAACTGGTAAGTTTTCATAATCTTTACAAGTTGCGCGAAAACTAGACTATAACCTCTATTGCACCATTCAAAATTGTAAGTCTCAAAAACTTGAAATAATATGTTAAAAGATAAAAAGTATAAGAAATATTTAGAAATTATATCCAAGTAAATACTTTTACGTATAAAATAAAATATAATGTCAGGTTGGTTTGGTCTCGGTTAACTTTTTTTAGTTAAAACCAAATCAATCAAAGTATAATCGTGTTTTTTTTTTTCATATACCAAACTAAGTCAAACCAAACTATTAGTCGAGTTCTTTTCCAATTTAACTCGATTTGCAATTTTGTTTAATTTTCGGTTCGATTTTGTACATTCCCGTAGAGAGGTATGAGATTGTGAGAAGAGAGGACAACGATCACGATGATTAACATAATAGTATTTGAATGTTTGTATGAGGAACTAGAGGACATTTGTGAAAAAATTAACGAAGTTGTATAGGCTCGTCAAGACAAGAGAAAGGAAAGCAGTGTAATTGCACGTTCAGGATGGAGGTAATTGGTCAAGATGGTGGTGGTTGTTAATGGCGGAGTCAAAATTAAGAGTTTGGGGGTTCTAAATTTTAGGACAGAAGAGAAAAATATTACAAAATATGTTTCTTTGAATAAATAAAAAAAAGGTTTGAACCTACAACACTAGTATGAAAGGCAATCCACCAATCATTCTTTACCACTGAGTTGTCAATCTTTTTGTTGGAATTCACAAGTTAATATACATATATATTATATATTTATTCAATTTCTAATACAAATACAAAATCTACGAAAAAACTAATGGGTTCATCCAAACCAAAGAAGACCCACCTAACTCTGCCTCTAGTGGTTGGTCAAGATAAGTCTAAGGTGTAACTATTCCTAAGAATCTAATACCTAGTTCATCAATTCCATAGTTACAAAACGTAATTGACATAATAGGTAGACATGGATAGGCTATAAAAATATCATTTCCCCTTAACTTCTGAAAGATACGTCTAATAATTCATTATAAGTCAAGATTAAAGCATAGAGTTCCACATTAACAGTAGCTTAATTAGCACATAAATTAATTGAACTGCTAAAATATATCTTTCAATAGCCATAAGTCCATTATCCAACCCAGCATATTTCCTCATAGATAAAATAATTAGTAGTAAAATGGCCTAAACCTGCAAAATACACAAGCATTTTCAGTCAAAAAATGTATAATTTGTGTAGAATTTGGTGTTATACCATTCTAGGAAGAGAACAAATTAAAGTTTATAAAAAAATTCCCTAAACATACTATGACATAACAATAATTTCACAACTACAAAAATATCACAATTTCACCCCTCTCCCCACTCACCCCGTGCCAAACCCCCATCCCTGCTACCTTGTCACCTTAGCACGGGGGGCAGAGCTAGAAATCTATATATAGGTTCGATCAAATTCAATAACTTTAATTCAAATTTTGTTTTTATACTAAGAAATTCATTTAACATGTACAAAACTTAAATTTAAAACCAATTACCAATCACATCCCCTAGAGGTTACAAACCATAAAGTTCAATCACGCCTTTAATCATACTCCCAACCCAACAACCACCTCATATACAATTTTCACAGTATATGTCTAGATTATATCAAGCATGAGATGACATATTACCTAGGATATGAAGAAGCATGATGACCATAGTAGTGAGGCTGCTCCATCATCATGGATCTTCTCATTGAATAATTGTATGGACTCATTGGCATTGTGTTATAGTAGTCATGGCCACGACTATAACCATAGCCGTGGCCATGGCCGTAGCCGTAGCCAAGGCCATGGTAGCCATGGCCATAACCATTATAAGAAGGACGATAATGTGTTGTGGGAGTAGTAAGAGAAGGATGCTTGAGCTTTACATGTACTATTTCTGCATGTTTTCCTGTTCCTTTTAATGCCTTCACTAATAAATTTGGATCAACTTCTCCACATACATTTACTTCTCCTTTTTCTGCATTTATTGTCAATGCATACACTCCTACACATACACAAAAAAAAAAAAGAAGATATTTCACTAGTGAGAAAAGACAATTCAACTCTCAATCTTAAATGCTATGAACAAAAATATCAAATTTCATTAATTTTTTTTATAATTATTGTGTTCGGACTAACTTACATGTAATTTAATTCAATTAATTTAGAAATTAAGCAAATTATCTAAAACCAACAAGCAAATGAAAAGTGAGTTTTATCTGGGTCGATGAAGCAATAACTCATTGTTTAGCCTAAATTGATTCGAATTAAACATGAGATCGATAAGTTATTATAACTTATCTCATTTGTTAATCGAGCCTATTTTTAGTCAACTAAATATAATTCAACTCGTTCATTAGACACCTTTGTTTGAGCCTAACTTAATGAGAACGACTTCTTTTCTCGTTCTACCCTGCCTTTTAGTAGTTGTTTGCTTATTCCTTTTTAAGATGATTCAATCAACTAATTAACTCCATCAAACTCCTCAATAAATATCAATAACATGTCGTGACCACTTACCCTTATTTACTGTAAACTAAAATAAGCGACGTTTATTTAAATAATGTGCGGAATTAATTAGTGATATATAAGCATGTTACCGCATACGGAGCTTAACACTTCCACCATCTTCATCTTGCACGCATCGCAATGGACATCCACTTTCAATATGCAACTCTACAAAAATACAAAACAAAATAAACATTACACTAAAATTAATTTTACAAAACCAATCCTAGGGTTAATGCAAATGTTTAAGAAAACAAAGGTTGTGATGGTGGAGTGGTAAATACTCCTTCAATAGTAATCAGAGATCTTGAATGACATATATAGCCACATATAGCATTCCCCTAAAAATTATAATATATGTATATAGAAAATTGTACGAAATATATAGGTCAAAAATTATTTTTCATACATATATATATTAAATCTTGGATATCCTTAACAAAATCTCTTACTGCACCACTGTAAAACAAACTGTAAGTATGAAATTGTATTTGGTAGAAAACACTTGAACTTTAAAGTAAGACTTCTGGAGTTGGTCAAATCCCAAAACAGATACAGAACAACAAGTGAGAAATAAAAGTAACGAAACAAAGGATTTTTGTTTTTATTACTTACCACGTCTGCAAAGGGCTCCATGAAAATTCGTTCCTTGAACGTCTAAACAACTGATAAAATGAAAAAGAAAGATCAAATAATTAAAATCAAAGTTATATCCAAATGTTTATAACAAATCAAAAGGAGAAAAAAATCCTAGTAAGTACTACTTAGTAATATTTAATTATTTTTGTCCACAAATAAAATTATATTATTATATAAACTAAATACTCAATGACCATGACTTTTACATAACTTGAACGTACATAGATTAGAGTAAATGGAGACCAAACTTGTAAAGAATATTAGAGAAACTAACCTTTCAATGAACAGTCAATTATGAGGGGAAAAAAGTAATTAGAGAATAAAACATTTGGTGAAGATGGGTGCTAATTAAGGTAGTATTAATTACGAAGTTATATTTAGGAGTGATTTTCTAAGATTTCCATATTTTTTATTTATTTAGTTAAAATCAAGCAAAGATTTAGTCATATATAATATATGGAAATACATGATATGATAGATCCCATCTTCTTATAATATAGTTAAGTATTATTTGCATTTTCTTTCTGAGAAAAGGTATTTTTAATATCCTTACCAAAATTATCTTAAAATAGAGAATTTTAACTTGTATGTGAAAAAAAAAGGTTTTTTAATATTATTACCAAAAGTATCATGGAAGAGAGAATTTTAACTTGTTTGCTAAAATATATTTTTGTACATCTATATTTATTTATCATAAATTAATAAAGAAATAGCTAGTATGTGATGGTAACATATATTAATGCCTAAAATTACGCATTAATTTATTCATTGTTGTAAGTTGAATTTGTTTCTTTCCCTTTTGTGGTACTAAGCATTATTTTAGAAAATGTCAAATAAGTGGATTTTTTTAAACTTATTTTTTAGTGTTTGATAAGTAAGCAAGATAATATTATATCAAGAATATTTATATGTTACTTAGCAAAATCGAGTGGAGATTTGGTGGTGGCAGGAGGTGGGATGGTCAAGGTGTGAGGATTGGATGAGCTAGAGACAAACGTCATTTATATTAATCAACTTGTTTTTCCTACTTCCATTAGTGAAGTCATTTTCCTAATTTTTAAGGAGCTTGTCTTCTTACTGAAATTGTTTTTCGAACATATTGATCAACCAAACATAGAAAAATTGAAAAACCTTTTCCATAAAATGTTTCCTCCATACCAAACACACGACAATAGATTTTGTAACTATTTATATATTATTGTTGTTAAATATAATATAATAATTATATTATTATTATTAAATAATTACTCCAATATTTTTTATTTGTTGTAATGATACTATTTTATTGTAAAGAAACATTCTGTTTCACTGTCATTTTTTGTTTTTGTGATAAAAAATAATAATCTAAAAAGATGAGTATTCTTAAAATATAAGAATCT